GGGGCGCGCGTGCTCGCTCGTTCTTTCTCTCGCTGGTATTAATCTTGTTATTCGGGGGGGGGCGGAAGGCTGCCTTCGGTTTCACCGAGAGAGCTTCCCCCCCGCCACGCAAAAACAGAGGAAGAACAGCGGGGACGGCACCTAGGAGATGATGGATCGTCACATTCACAACTATAATAACACTTCTTCCGCTGACTTTCCTCAAAGAGCGGGGTGTAGCAAAAAACAACAACCCAAAGCGGTAACCGTGTTAAGGACGGAGTGATAACGCAAGCAAAAGGGTCTGTGCGGGACCCCCCCCCCCAATCACCNGCGAACAAGGGGCCAACCAGATGGTCTAGAAAGCAGGCTTTCTCTGCTTATCCGAGGCATCGGATCTATAGAGCCTTTGGAGATGGAGCTTCCATATAACCCTGAAACCTTAATGGGCTGCCATCATTGACAGAGCTTTCCTGCATGGATACATCTGCCTAATCCCTTTCTAATGTCATCGAGGAAGGGGCGGCCCTGACCGCTGAGGCACAGCAAGGCTGGTGGCCTGAGGCAGTAGATGCTCACAGCCCCGACCTGAGGTCTTGGGAGGACCGTACTTTTTCAGCAGGCCCTCAGCCCCCGACATCTGACTTGGCCTGATCTGGATAGTAAAGCAAGGCACTGTCTTGTCCTGTGAACGACAAGCCCCAGAGTTTTGAGATCTCTGCCCAAAACCCATGCCAAGGTTTTGCAAAACCTCCTGTTTTGCAGTGCCTTTGCAGTGTAACTAACATATACATGTGCAACTGACTAAAAAGAAGGTAAAAGGGAATTCACCTTTTATTTTGTGCATGAGCAGGAATTCCAGGTAAAACTGGTTTTTCCCTAGCACTAAGGAGAAGTTCTACTGCAGAAATAGATGGAAAAGAAAGCAATTGGGAATTAATGCAATATTGTAGAACACATTTTTCTTCACCCAGCTTTTATTCTGTGCTTCCCCGAAAATAAGACAGGGGCTTATATTAATGTTTGCTCCAGAAAACACAGTAGGGCTTATTTTCAGGGGATGTTATATTTTTTCACGTGCAACAATCTACATTTATTCAAATACAGTCATGTCATCTTATTCTGGTTGCTGCACAATGGTGGAGGGCGGGCTTTCACTTAACTAGGGTTTATTTTTGGGGTAGGGCTTATATTTCGAACATCGTGAAAAATTATACTAGGGCTTATTTTCGGGGGAAACGATATAAGAGACAAGTGTTCCTCTCCATATATCGAGAAAGGGAAAAAATGGAAGTCACACAACACTGCTTTATCAATAGCAGTTCTTGGAACATTACAGACCACATGAAACTCTCAGTAGATAATTCTGTTTTTCAAATAAATTCACCTTCTCAAGTTTTCCTTGTCATGGTAGCCAATGCATTTGAAAATGAAGATTATATAGTAGTCATTGAATCACATAACCATTATATGAACAGGGTATTATATAATATTTACCCAGCTGTGTATGTAAATATGTACAACGTAAAAAAAACACTTAAAACTTTGGCATAAGTTTAAAATCTAATGGACAATGATGGATCTGAAGTGCTCAATAAGCCCCCATACTGGCTGAAATCCTGTTGCTTTAGTGTAGCAAGTTGTACTACAGAATGAGATAGTGTAGTAGTAGTGTAAACCCACTGAATTAGTGGGGATTTTGTGAGTCGACTCCTTCATATGCTCCACTAATTCAAATGGTCCTACTCTACTTAACATAAGTTGTAACTAGAGTAGGCCCATTTGAATCACTTGAATTTACAGAGGAGTTGGCTTATTAAATCCCCACTGATTCAATCAGCCTACTCTAGTGTGACTTAGTACACGAAGGAATAGGATTTCAGTAACTGTATGCTAGTTGCACCATTTTGGGGGAATTACACTGTAAAGGTTTGTCAGTCAAAGGTTATGACTGACCAGGGAATCCAGACTTGATCCACCAGTTATAGTATTTGGGATTGCTGCAAAAACTGGGTTTGTGCTGCAAATTTACTGCAGTATTTTGGCATAAATTTGGAGAGGATCCAAAATTTAGAGATTCTTAGTTAACACAGGTACACAGTATCCCTTTGCTAGTGCAATAATAAGATTGAATTGCTAGCCCAGTCAGCTTCTGTATGCTTAAGAGGGCCTTATCTCATTCTTTATGTCAGCAGCAAAACTGTCCTGGTTTTAGATAGCAACCATGAGTATGTGAGTAATAATGATATGGTAAATTATTACAATAATTAGTAACCATTAAACCAGGAAACAACTGCATTGTTCCTATTTAAATTTATTGTGTATGTGTTTTTAAATCTTAATTTGAAAATACACCAATTTGTTCAATTTGGGTCTGATGAAAGAAGTTGTAATTTTTTTTTCTTTTAGAGACTGTAATCCTGATGACAAGGATTGGCCAATTATTATACTGTAAGACACTGGGAGTTTTTTGGCTGAAAAATCTAGTTTAAATGTAATTCATCATCATCAGATGGAATCTCTGAATAAGAAAGAACAATTGCTACCAAATGTTTGTAGTAAAATGAAGTATATATTCATGGGAACAACAAACAGCATTCTGACACTTTAAAGACAAAACATTTTTTAAAAAAGACAAACTTTTGTGGACATTATCAAATACAAGTGTACCGTACTCCAGAAAAGTTTACATCAAATAAAATCACTTGATTTTTAACTATATTAATATGACCATACTTCAACTATGTTAAATACACAAGAAGAAACAGGACAGAACATGTTGTATTTACACTCAAAATAAAGGAAACATAAATTTAGATTACCATTTAGTGTTATTAATCTAGCTAATAGTGTGATTTGGTTATCTGTTTCTTTGTTGCACATGCTGCTGTACAAAATTTTGCAATCTTGACTGGAATTTCACTTGAGGAATCCGAGAGAAGGTAAATATAAAATTTGTGAGTCTACGTGGATAATGTTTTAAAATTGGGGAATTGAGTAGACTGTGGAATCCTTATAGAATGTGCAGTACAACAGAACATGTGCCATGCCAGACTGACAGGAGAAAAACAATGGTCATAAGGAACATGCAAATATCTTCCTTCTAAAGAAGGTTGATGACAGAAATGAGTTAAGGTAAAAGCTCTAGGTCTTTAGAACGCAATGTCTAGCTTGTAAACCATAATGATAATCCATGGGTGGGGGGGAATACCTTTCTGTGATTTCTGGCCTCGGTTTTTAAAGTGCTGCAAGACTATTATTTTTCCAGCAACAGATTGACATAGTTTTCCTCAACCCCCAGAAATATATCGAGTCAGGAGTTTAGAACTTATTTTGGACTCTACGTGGATATGTTTCATTCTCTCCTACATAGAATATGTATTGGTTCTGCTAGCTAGGTACAGCAATGAAAGGTGAGGCATATCTGAGATTTTAAAATTCATTTGGTATTTCTTATAATATTTTCTTATTTCTGAGGAGTTCTAGTACATGAGAGGAATGTGTTCCCTAAATAAAAGACTTCATATTGATAGAAACATGAGTCTGGGACTTGTTTACCAAATCACACTGTAGTGCAGCCTTGAACCTAACAGTTCATTCCAGGTGGTGATCATAAGGATTCCTCTATTAGGTGTCACTGTTGGCTATGCTGGTTTAGGATAATGACAGTTGAAGACCGTAACATCTGGATGACTGTATATTCGCCATTATATAGCCAGAAAACGCATAGGATTAGGGTTAGAGTTATTCTCTTCATTGGCATTTTACAAATATATATCTGTTGCTTAAGCAGCATGCAAAAGTATTCCTGACTGTGTAAGTGGAATTGCTACTCTTCCACCAGTACAACTAGTTTGCTGAAGTATAAGAAAAGAACAGAAGTCCTTAAGATAGAAGAGAACTTCGTATCAGTACAAAAATAGTTTTAGGTTTGTGTGAATGTTCCCTTCCATTCCTGTTGCCCCAAAAAGGATCGTGGAGATATCACCATCATCAAAGCACAGCATAGTATTTAGAGCAGTCCAGGGTTCTTGTTACTCTTAGAGAATGGGTGAGTTAAAATGTGATTAAATCTATTTGTCTAGCACTGTATTTCTATTCCAACAGTGACTAAGTGCTGGATGGGAAGTAATGGTTATTTGTAGAGGTTTTTAATAGGATTAAAAGCAATTTGTATACTATCTCCATGATCCTTACAACAAGCCTGTAAGCTTCATTATCATCTTCATGTTACAGACTGGGACTGAATTAGCAGACATGAGACTGGTGTGCCTATAAACACACCTTGTGTAGAAATGAAGAACATGTGTCCCTTCCATGTCATTGAACTATTAGCTCCAACCTGTGTTAATGCTTCAAGCATTACATTTAGGAATCTGAAACAGACACCTGCTCACAGTGTAAGCTGAAAAGCAGTTCTAAGACTCTGCTAAAGTAGACACAAAGTGGGTTTAGATGTGATAAGAGAATCCACCATGTTAGGTTACAATTCAGATATTTTTGCTTGAAGCCATTCCAAATCTCTACTGATTCAGACCTTG